TCTCCAGTGGGGGGCTTGCAGGAGGCGGCCAATTGATGTTCTCTCTCAACAACGTCTCTCTCTCTCTCCTTCTGCCTTCCTCTCTCTCTCAAATCAATAAAGAAAAAAATACTTAAGAAAAAAGAAATTAGGTGTGCATTTGAGTCTACCAAAAAGAAACAAACATTAAAATTACAAGGTTTTGTCTTTTTTTTTTTTTTTTTTAATAATCCTTACCTGAGTATATTTTTCCCTTTATCCTCAGATAAAGTGGGAGGGTGGGAGTGGGGAGGAGCAGAAACATCAGTGTGAAAGAGACATTGATTGGCTGCTTTTTGTATGACCCAGACCAGGGCCAGGAACTAAACCAAAACCAAAGTACATGCCCTTGACTGGAATCTAACCCTCAACTCTGGTCAGTGGGCTGATGCTCTAACCGCTGATCCAAACCAGCCAGCGTGAAATTACAATTTTAAGGATAAATAACTAGCATGGTTGGTGTGGCTCTGTGGTTGTGCGTCGACCCGTGCACCAAGAGGTCACTGATTCAATTCCCAGTCAGGGCACATGCCCAGGTTGTGGGCCCGATCCCCAGTGGGGGGTGCGCAGGAGGCGGCCAATCGATGTTCTCTCACAGCAATGTTTCTATCTCTCTCTCCCTCTCCCTTTCTCTCTCTCTAAAAAAGATCACGAAGGAAAAAAAATAAATAAAATAAATAAATACTTAACCAAAAGAACTTATATGTACACATGCATAGCCCATGGACAGACTATAGACAGAAGCAGCATGGGGTGGAATGGGAGATGGATGGAGGGGAGCAAAGGGAGAAAAATGAAGGACATCTGTAATACTCTCAACAATAAAATAAATTTTTAAAAATGAAAATGTCATTTTGAAAATAAAAGTAACCGTTAGTTAAATGATAAACCAATCTTTGAGCTATCATTTTACTATATATTAGTTATTGGAATTTTAAAATATCAGCTCATTAAAATTTGTAAAAAATGTTGTTCTTGTATATAATCAGACTTTCTAACAGCTATTTAACATGCATTTGAGTTTGTTAAAGCTACATGTAACATGTGGTAAAAAATTATGAGCGAAAGCAAGATTTAAAAAATAAAATAATCAGATTTTTTAAAGGGTCTTGAAGGTAATTCATTATATTGCTCCCATTTTAAGGTAATTCATTATAATGCTCCCATTATGAGAGTAATCTAAGTCCCATAAAAATTAAATATTGACCAAACTCAATAGTCTAGTAAGAGAGCAGAATTTAGGATGTTATGTTTCAGTGTTTTACTTTCTCCAGATCTACAAAGGAGGATGAATAATGGAAGGACATCCTCTTTGAATGGAGTAGGCTTCACAACTGACTTCAATCATTGAGCAAAAGGTTCTGCAATTGGTTATAAGTAAGGTATAGGTTACTTTTTAGAAAAGGCTCTGATATGAGCCACTTGCAGAAATGGACGTCTTCAGAGACTTGTCTCACTCCCTTCCATCATAACTTTTATGAATTAGGAAAAGAAACCAAGCGTATTGAAAACTTAATAGAAAACATCATTCTTATATCCTAATAGTGTAAGGAAAAGGGTATATGATAAAAATGATGTCACATCCTAACCTACCCTTTTTATCAAATTAGTGCTGTTAGAATATTTGTTTGGGATAAATGCCATTTTAAACCAATCTGTTATAAGTTGCCCTCATATTTTTTATTTTTTTAGTTTCTAAACAGTAGAGGTATCTTTTATAGTTATATGAATGTCACTCAACAATGGCTAAATATGGAATAGTTGATTTATATTATTCCAAGTAGTAATATATATTTATAAATCTGATTTCATTTTGTTGGCTCATGTCTTTCTAACTTATCTTTAGGTATTTATAATGTACTGGAAAATTCAGTGTTGTGGTAGGTTAGTATGAGATACCTGTGAAAAATAAGGTGAAACAGTCTTACATTTTATCTTTGTATTAGACACTTCCCACTCTCTTAATATATCTTTATTAAGAAACTATTCTGTATACAATAATACCTTAGTAGATATAATCAATCTAATTTGTAAGAATTAATTATTACGTAACATCTAAAACCAGGTTCAGAACTATTGGTTAGGCTTAGATGCCTGATTTTTTGGTTTTATCGTTGATTTTGGATATTTACTGACATTAAAAATAATCAAGAACATGCTGATTATATGTGATGTCCTTTACTATTTTTAGCTAAATTATTTAACAGTATAAATTTACAATGCCTTGTGAATACACAGTATTTATTAGAATCTTGGATACACTACTTTTAATACTTTAAATTTAGATTTAATATAAGATATTTAAATAATGCTCTTTAGCAGTTTGATACTTGTTATTTTTCTCATTTGTCCTATATTCTCATGTCAGGAGGAGGTAGGTATGAAATTTTAATGAGCATTTCCAACCACCTTTTTAAAATGATATAATATATTTTATTCTTTTAAATAGTTCATTGATTTTTAGAGAGAGAAGAGGGAGAGAGAGAGAGAGAAACATTGACCATGAGAGCTCAACATCAATCCTCTGCCTCTTGCATGCCTCCCACTGGGGATGGAGCCCACAACCTGGGCATGTGTCCTTGGCCTGGAGTCTGACCTGCACTCTCTTGGTGTACGGTATGATACCCAACCAATTGAGCCACAGTGGCCAGGGCAATGATATCATATATTTTAACCCCACAATCCACTCTAATCAATATCTGACCCTCTTATTAATATCTACATTAATAAGTGTCCTTCCCCTCCAATAATATGTAAACTCTAATGGATTCGAGACATTATCTCCAATTTTCACTATTTTATTCCCCAGAATGTTTAGATTAGGCCATAACAAAGGGAAAATATAATGCTTAATTAATACTTATTGAATGAATAAATGATTGAATGCAAACCCAAGTTTTATGTTTTTCTTGGTGGCTCTTCCAGGGATTGCTTTTATTTTTAGACAGAGTGATCAGAATGTTTTTCAGTGACTTTCAAACATTTTGTATCATGCCCCACAAAAATAACTGTTATATCCCTGTGTGTGTTTGTGTTTGAAACAAAATACTCATGAAACAACACTTCCTATTATCTGCGGTGAACCCTGATAACTAAATCTCTAAGTTATGTATTCCATATTATTTATTTATTTATAATAATTCTGGGGCACAGAGGATTTTTAGAGCAGTGAAAATACTCTGTGCGATACCATAATGATGAATATATATGGTTATAAATTTATCAAAACCCATAAAATATTATATAACACCAAGAGTAAACCATAACGTAAACTTTATGTATACCATTGGTAACCAAGAGTGTACCATCAGGTAAATTTGGAGATTTTAGTACGCTATGTAGGCTCATAAATTATAACAAATGTACCACCCTGGTAGTGAATGTTGATTATGGGAGAGGCTACACATGTGTGGGCTCAGAAGTTATATGGGAAATCTGTACCTTCCACTCAGTTTTGCTGTGAACATAAAACTGCTCTAAAATATAAAGTATTAAAAAAAAATGAATACTAATGCTTGTCTTGAAGTTGATTTCACAACCCACAAAACTGCAGCTAGTAAAATACTGTTTTAGACAAAAATAACAAGAGATGAACCACATTAATCTTTGAGTATGTAGAAAGAACACATGTACCTAGTAAGCACTGGATGGTGTAATTGTCAAGTCTGTCTTTCCCTGAACTTTTTAACCTTCTGGGCCACTTCCAGCTCTCTATATGTGGATGTCACTTACTTTTCATACCCCAGACTTTCAGAAGCTAGAAGGCCTGAAAGAGAATGGAAAATGTCTTTTCTAGATCTCAGGGGTGAGCAGCTGAGAAAGTATGTAAATGTGTACTTGGATTCAGCTACAAATAAAACAATACACTAAAATTATTTCATATAATTCTCACCACAACCATACAAACTAATGACTACTCTCCTTTTATAAGTTAAAAAACTGAGGTTCAAGAGATCCAATGACTTCCTCAAGGTGACCAAGTCAATGAGCAGTGGGAGTCTAGATCCACTCTTGTTGCAAACAGTCTCCCTAAGCGGGAGACAGACGCACGATGTAGAAGTTCCCCGAATCCAGAGACAGTTCCTCCTGACTTCAGAGTTGCCTTCAGAGTTGCCAGATGCTCAGAGTAGGGCGGCTCATAGGCCTGGATGTTCAGGGCCTCTTCCTAGGGCCCATAAAGGCAAAGAACCCAATGTTCTCTAGGAGCCTCACCTGGCCAGGCTGTACCCTCCTCAACCCCACCCTGATCTCTAGCCTCTTCCACTGTGCAGGGGGTGGGGATAGGGCATGTAAAAGCAGCCTTGATCATTTATTGCACACTCACCACATGGGTTCATGACTACTAGAGCCCGGCAAGCTAGGAAGGACGGAAGGACGGACTGCTGTTGCCCTTGAGAAATTAACCTCGACTCAGCTAAGGTCATACCCACTGAAGCTCAAAAGGAAGCACAGAACAGAGCTACTCTGCATTTGCATTTTCCCACCTTCTCAAGGAGTGAAATCTTGACTAAGTAGTAGTTAAGACTTATTACCAATTAAACACTTCCAACGCCAGCCCCCTCTCCAAGCCCCACTCTCACCAAGGCATGAGCTAAGTCTTGTAGGGGAATGAGCCAGTCACCTCTGGAGAAGTACTAGGATTCTACCTTCTCCCACTTCCTCCGGCTACCTTGTTGTCCGCTCCCAGTCTGATCTAATGTCCAGGGTTAAGCCCGGGGTGGGGGGAAGAGTCCTGGCCTTCTTTCAAACTGGGCATGCTCAGTTGCCAAGCGGGTTTTGGCCAGGCCTGGGGCGCTGGGCTGCTGGAACGCTGCTGGGAGCCCGAGTGCGCGCAGCTCTGGGGCCGCAGCCTCGGGGGCGGAGGCCGCCTCTGCTCTGCTCGCCGCCGGGACGCGCGCCGCCCGCCCCCTGCAGCCTGTGTTGCAGCTGCCGGCCGCCGGAGGGGGCGAACAAACGTCAACCTGTTGTTTGTCCGACGCATTTATCAGCTCAGCACCACAAGGAAGTGCGGCACCCACAGGCGCTCGGAAAGTTCAGCATGCAGGAAGTTTGGGGACAGCTCGGCGACTAGAGCAGCCCGGGCCAGCGGGGCAGCGGCGGAGAGCGCGGCGCGGCGGCCGTCCCGGGAGCCTGTCCCGGATTTTTCTTGGAGCGACGCTGACCCTGGGTCGCTGATCCCAATGCACCGGCTCATCCTCGTCTACACTCTAGTCTGCGCAAACTTTTGCAGCTATCGGGACGCTTCTGCAGCTCCGCAGAGCGCATCCATCAAAGCTTTGCGCAACGCCAACATCAGGCGAGATGGTAAGAGGCTCAGATTTTACTTTTTGATTTTTTTTTAAAAACATCACTTTTTTTGTTGTTATTGAGCGTTTTCTGCCGCTCCCCCCTCCCACTCCCGCTCTCTTCCTCTCTCCCTCTCTTTCTCAACCTTTCATGTGAATCCTGGTGAAGGCATTGTGGTGGAGCAGAATGGGGGGTTCCTGCCTCAGAGACCCCCCTTTTCCGGAATAGGACTGAGAGGTGTGGGATGCTTGCCAGAAGAGATCAAATGGGTGAGGTGGCTCATGTCCCTACCCTCCAGAGAAGTCAATTTGGTGTCCAGTAGTCACTGATACCAGAACCAGGTCGCTGCAGAAAGTTGCAGGCTGCGCCGCCCATCGGTCAAGCTCTTAACCTTTTGAACTTGAAACTCAGATAGATGGGGCATTTATAATAGATGGAGGGACTCAAGAGTGACTTTCTCTGGGCGATATATTTTACTTTTTTAGTAGAGGAAGAGGGAATGTGCATTTCAATCTCTCAGTCACATCTGGGACAGCGACACCATTATATATATATATATATATATATATATATATATATATATATATATATATTTTATTTTGAGAAGATGGTTGGGTGCCCATTATGTCCCCAGAGTGACTTACCCACTGGGATTCAAAGTGGCTCAGAAACTCAGGGTGTGGGGGTTCCATGTGTACCACAGGAGAACCAGGTTTCTGCTATTTGTTTCCTTGCACAGAAGGCTTTTCAACTCTTTGCAAAAAGCAAAGCTCTTTCAACAGCGATCCTAAGCAAGGTCTCAAGCAGATCTGTTTGTTTTCTTTTACTCCGGAGGACACCTGGGTCCTTGGGTCCCAGATACTTTAATTGAGTTTATTTATTTTCTGGGCCTCCGCCAAGATCTGAAGTTGATTTATTTCTCAATTCTCAACTACAGCTGATGTTGCCAGGATTTTACAGCTGTTTCAGCCATCTACCTGAAGTGAGCCATAGGTTTTTGTTTTTTCCATGATCAATAATATCTTTTTCTTCCTCTGCTTGCATAAAGTTCGGACACATCTAAGGAGATCCCAAGCTAATGATAATGTCTTCACTGTTTGAGCTGGGAACAGCTGACTACTCTCCGGAAAATTCTTATTAGCCATCCTATCAGCTTCTCTCTTAGTATGTACTTAGCTTGGACTTCACCAAAAGGCTTTAGAACTTTGAAACAAACAAAAAATCTTTATTCTATTTTCTGATGACAAGAAGACTGCAGATTTCAGTATATTCAAATTCTCTGAAATGATGTATGTGTGTGGAGGATACAGGGAAGCCAGAGAGTCAACTCCTGGCGGGAAGAGTCCCCTATATTTATAGAATTACTTCATTACATTGTTTTATGTAAAATGTGCTATCAGTGCCTTTTTGATAACTTTCCAACTTAGTTAAAGCACACAATTTTCTTGTTAAACTTTTTTTTAAAAAAGGTTTAGGCTTAAGAACAATCTTTTATAGTTTTGTTTTTCTCATTAATATTTCCATCAAGAAGTCTTCTAGCTGAGTGTTTAGATTTGTCGATGTTTGCACTTTTTATGCCCTCTCAGCTGCAGGGAGTAAGATGCATTTCTAATTTGCATGACTTCATAGCCATAATTTTGTAATCCTTGGCCTCCCAGTATCGGTTACAAGAAGTCAAGGACAGAATGTGAAAATATGTAACCATTGCCCATTAAACCAAGATTCTGGCTAAAACCAAGTCATGCAGCTCTTTTTTTTTTTTTGGAAAAAGAATAATCTTATTATATTGTTCTGTGTGGAAACTCTGTACATCTATCTAGTCTATATGACAAATGATTTGTCTTATCAGAATTTTGAAAACTACCCTGGATTTATTCCTTTATATTTTAGCTAAAGCTGTTTTGCCATTACTCCAATAACACACACACACACACACACACACACACACACACACCCCGATTAGTTAGATTGTTCAGTACTTTCCTCACTGTCAATCTCATTCTATAAACAAGACTAGGAAAGGGGAAAAGGTATTTAGATTAAAAGAAAATTGCCACATGCGGAGTGAAAACATTTTAATTCTCATAATGTATGGTTAGTTTGGGGAGTTTTCAAAAGGCAGCTTACTCTTAAGTGTTATAGAGCATACCTTCTCAAAAACAATATTACCCCAAAGGGTCAAAACTGGATCTTAGGAGGTGAAAAAGTCTTTGCTATTACAATGGTTTGTGGTGCTCTAAAGGGCCAGTACACATAAACACATAACAGTCTATCTGTAGTGTTACTATTTCATAAGGAGGGGATGTGATCAGAAAAAAAAAATCTAACAAAGCTCCTTAAGTGGTCATTGACAATAATGTCATAGCATTTTGGGGAGAGAGTAGAATAAAGGGTCTTTGAAAGAGTCTAGACATTGTCTGGAAAATCTTCATGGCAACAGTTCAGCTGATGAAAGAAAGTAATAACTTATCAAATTAAACCCTTGTTCTGATTCCAGACATTTCCAACTTGCTGTCCCAAAGTTTCCTAGTGCCTTATTAAAGAAGACAGTATTCTTGATCTTTTGACTATCAGATTAAGAGGGTATAAGCTTGGGAAGAGTAGGGACATGGAATGTAATAAAGGGAAAATATACCAGGTAAAAGTTTCCAAACACTAATTGAGGATCTCTAGGAGATCTGGCCCGCAGATTACAAAAGGTAAGAAATCACAACCAAAAAATTAGATGTGACCCTTGAATAGGGGTTTTAGAAACCATTACCTAATGATAGAACTATCATTACACTTGATTGCCATCCATATCTCCCTGCTGACCCTGTTAGCTGCTACCTAATGTCAGGGTTAATAAAGGAACAAAGAGGGCAGGTATCCTGTACTGGTCATGAGGCATGTTGGATCCTGTCCAACCTGATTTTTAAAAAAACAACTTGTTTTTTATCTACCTGTACTTAATAGCTCCAGATAACTGCAGTAGTTAAGAAATATACAGAAATAAAGTGTAAAGGTTGACAAATAATATATTTTATTCTGTCCAGTGTAGCAGGCTGATCTGCTACTCTCTCCTGTCCTTCCAGAACTCTTCATTAAATTATACAGTTAACCCTTGAACAACTTTGGGGTTAGGATTGTTGACCCTCCATCAAATGAAAATCCAAATATAACTTTTCACTCCCCAAAGCCTTAGCTGCTAATTGCCTACTGTGGACTTGAAGCCTTACTGATAACATAAACAATCAATTAACACATAGTTTGTGTTATATGTATTATGTACTATATGATTACAGTAAAGAAAGCTACAGAAAAGATGCTATTAAAAATTATAAGGAACAGAAAATAAATTTATAGTATTTATTGAAAAACAATCTATGTATAAACGGACCTGTGTAGTTCAAACCCAAGGTGTTTAAGAGTCAACTGTATTATCGTCCTAAAACGAATATCTGGAGAACTCTTCCCAGCACCTGCAGAATGGCTAAAGGTGACTGAATGGAGGACAGTATCCAAGAGGAAACTAGATTCTACAACCAAGAAGGGTTACAATGATTTGCAGTACTTAACTGAGTATTTATACTTCCTTATATCACATATATTATTATTTTTCAAATTTAATTTTGGTATCCCTTCCTGATTCACCTCTTGGCACAGAGAAGGATCTTCATTTGGCAAAAGCATCCACATATTCTAATTTTAGTGCCTCTGTGCTTGGTGTTTTTGTAATAATAACTGGCCAGAACTGGTATTGCTCAGAGTGTGGATCAAGAAGTATAAAGGTAGCAATTAACTGACAGCATTACAGCATTACTTACTTATTTTTAAATCAAACTAGATGGAACTTCCTGCATGGGGTGTTAAGAATACAGAATCACTCTTCACTTTCTTGACCTATTGTTGCTTTCAGAAAGTACAGGTGTTTGTGGTGAGTGATTCTGAATTTAGTTTTGTTGGGTTGTTTAATATTCCAGTACTTGAATCATCTATTCCATTATCATTATCTAGTGATAGGCCTGCAATTTTAGTAATTGTGGTCTTAGATTTTTAAGCACTCAAGCTTGTTTCTTGCATAATGTGGATTTCTATTATCCTCGTTGAAGACAGCACATTGATTTTGGTGCAAGGATCTGAACTTACAGGAAGGTAATAAAATAGAGGACCATGTAAACAAATTGAAGTATTTGAAAGTTAAGAGACAGATTAGTGTCTAAATCATATATTCTTCTGTGTTCATATTTCTGTTCAACTCAAAGAGTATTAAAGCCTCATAATCTTATAGAGAATAGTAGTGATTACATATTTTAATTGCAACATAGCTTTGACTTGCCACCACAGATTCCATTGCTTAATAGAGGTTCTTTTAAAAAGGCTGGTTCAGCCAGGTATCTATATAAGAGGCCACTACATTGTTAGTTATGGTAATGACCATGTTGTGTTTATTAAATGACAGTGATCTTTGTCTATAGCATTTTCCCTTTCAGTGAATGAAAGCAAAACTTTATTGTTTCAGAACAACAGGGTCAAACAATGGAGCAATGTCCCCAAGAGTTACTGATATCTAATGACCAGCCATAAGCATGGTCTCACAGGAGACTCTTGGGCATAACTGATCTCGGATAATCCCATCATTCTGAAAGTCTGGAAAGATGTGCACAGTTATATCACCATCCTGGAGAGCTGAGTCGAAATGCAAATCATTTTCTTTCTGGAACTTTTGAACATTCTTTGCTGAAATAATCTGATTAGCATAAAAAGGCACTTCCTGAACACCTTAATAAAATTCTCCCTTGTATTAAAATAGAAACATTTTTTTAAGCACACCAGGTATAGGATGTTTCTAATTCTTCTCTGCCATGTCATTTCTGTGATGCAGTGGTCTTTGCAAAAGATCAAGATGGCTTTGGAGAAGAGACGAGCTACCCTTTGTTCTACTTGATCTCTTCTAAAGTGACCTCTTTTTGGGTCAATCTTTACTTGATCCAGACTGTCTAAAGATGAAAGGACAAAGAGTTCTTTATGCTGAGCTC